GTATTTTCTAACGTACTCCAGAAACAGCTGCTATGCTTCTGACCTCCTCTGCTCTGTTGCTGTTGCATTCCTTCTGTCAGAATCAGCGGCAGAGAAAGAGGAAGCGTTCCAGCTCTCAGGATGATCACAGGCGAGGGGAGGAGAGTTATGAAAGATGGAGGAGGGGAGATCATATTCCATTCGACTGTTGTGAGAATTTATCGGAGGAAGGAAGTCGCAGGCTGGTTTCGGTTTTGTCTTTAGCAGACAGTCGAGGCGTTTGCTGAGGTTCGAAAGCACACTGAGGCCGTGAGACAGTTTCATGTCGGAGCGCAGGTCTTACGGCAGGGCGTTTTAACCTTTAACAGCTGAGTTTGACGACATGGTGGCAAAATTACAGATATTAACACCATTTTGACTTCCAGATATCTAGAATGTCAGTCAAAACCACAGCTGGAGATTTCTGTTATTCAGTTTAGTCACAATAACAGCTGCAGATATCTCAAACCTCATCATAAATAGTCTGAATTATTGTGCTCTTATGCAAGGCTTTCCATTGGATGTTGGTCGAGCATTGCATGTGAATGGTGTCAGCAGAAGTAGTGGAAGCTGTAGTGGTGGATAAGATGGTTGAAAAATGGTGTGAAGCATAAAGTGCTCATCAGCGAAAGTTTATGGAGAACAAGAGACTTGTGGTTGAAATTTGCTCGAACGTCGGCACCAAGCTGCTGGTAAAATGTAATATGCAGTAATGGTTTCGATGCCACATTGTGCTCGAACAGCACCCAGCTCCCGCCTCCCACTCACAGATAAACTCCAGATATGTGCGACGCTACTTCAGCCGGTCTCAACTCCAACTCAAGATATCTGTAATTGCGTTTTGACTAAACATAATTCCACCTCCGGATATCTCCAGCGTCATTTTCACTAGTGTGATCTTAGTTTGGAGATAAGAGATTGATGGGAATTAAAGATATGTGGAGCTAGAATTACGTCTAGACAGAATTACTGCTGATATCTGAAACTGGAAATACAACATGTGGAAATGTAGCCGCACATATCTGCAGCTGAATTGTAGATATCTGTAATGGGATGCAATGCGGATATATCTGCTCTTATTGACCAGGAAGAATTGAATTATGGATCTGTGATACATATTCAGTCTGGCTGTTCTTGACCTACTGATGTTTGCCTCTTTTTTTTTTTTTTTATAATTTCAAATTGAAGTCCATATTTTTTAAATCTGTTGTGCACATATGTATTATTCCCAAGGATTTCCCTTTAAAGTTATCTGTTTTTGAAACCACAAATTTGAAATACTTGGTCAAGTCAAGTTAATACCTTTTTTGTTATGTGAATATTGCAGTTTATTTGTTCTTTTTTCTGTGCTACACTGACTATAATCTGAAAGCAATTAAATTAAACTACCTCGGGCGCCGCTATAGCTCACCTGGTAGAGCTGGCGTCCCATGTACAGGGCTACAGTCCCGATGCGGAGGTCATGGGTTCGAGTCCCGCTCATGACCCTTTCCCGCACCTGTCCTCCCCCTACTCTTCTCCCCACTTTCCTGTCCCTCTTCCACTGTCCTATCAAATAAAGGCACAAAGGCCAAAAAAATAACTTTTAAAAAAAAATAAAATTAAACTACCTAAACATCATCATCAGTCAGCGATCAACAAATGGAAAGACTGGCTTTACTTCAATCCCAAAACTGATCTTTTTGACTAAATATATTTACACATTTATTACGGCTTTCTGTTGTTGTTGTATCCCCAAAGTGGTAGCTGTAGATTTTCTGGAGACTGTTTTTTTAAAATCCATTTATATAGCCATGAACACATTTAAACTGGCTCAGAGGAATCAGCAGCTGTAGTCAGTTGTGATCACTCGCAAGAACGTGAGAGGCCAGATTTTAACTCGGCCTTCTGGATCATCATCAAAACTGGTCATAGAATCAGATGAATCAGAACCAGAATCCTTTAATGTCATCACACCAAAGAAAAGTACAACGAAATTGGATGCTGTCCCCTTGAGTGCAAAGAACAACTATGAATTAACAAACTGTGCAAGATAAAAACACGACGTTTGTACAGCCTATAGACTTATATAAAAATAAGTGACAATAGGTATACAATTGATTTAAAAATGTGAGCATTTACAATAGCAGCAAGGAACGGAGGTACCTGAGAAATGCTTGTGGTAGATTACACCCGAGTACATGTGACATATTGCAAACTGAGAGAATACCTGTCAGTGGATTCACAGGAATGGTGGTGGGAGTGGGACGCATCAGTGTTTGTGGGAGTTCAGAGTAGTTATGGCTAAAAGTAGCTGTATGTATATTTTTGAAGCAGCAGATTTTGTAATTTTCCCTAGAAAACCTAAATTAGATCTATAAAGAAACCAAAATGCATGATTTGTTTTTTTATGTGTGTAACAAAGACTCAGGGGTTTCAGTAACTCCATTGTAGAAAATTTAGGGGAACCTTTCCAAAACAAATAAAAGACAGATAAAGCTCTTGGACTATCATTAAGCAAGTTTCTAGTCTTAACAAGCTAATTTTCATGCTAACATAGATAAACCCTTAACAATGGCAGCTGAGAAGATAGAACATCTGCCTTAAAACCATCAGCGTCTTAACAAACTGGTCTTAACAATGTTAACCTGCCAATACGACCATTTTAAATGGAGTTTTTCCCTTAAGGAATACCGTGGAAAGCTTTTTTAATAAGTCCACCCCAGTGTTCGCAGCCCTGTTATCCATCTTCTCCTCTTGCCTGTTGTCCTGTCGGGCATTTCCATCCTTCTCTGTCTCTAAATAAGGGAGTTTGATGTGTGCGCGCTACACTGCGAGGATAATGACTCACACTCTAATTAGTATCACTAATCAACTGTCATCTCGCTGACCCACTATTTCTGCGCGTCTTTCTCCGTTTTAAAATCGGGGATATGCGCTCGGCTGCTCGCTCATTATTCACCCTCTGTTTTCTTCATTTGAAGTTGATAAAGGCCATAAATGATGATCTGATTGATTTTGTGACCGTCTGAATGTGCTTTCGCTGATTTCTGGGCCGGAGCCGTTCCTCTGCGGTTCAGCCCTCTCTTGTGTGGACTCACTTAAGCTGCAGCAGTCTCTCACAATCAGACAGAGGCTGGATTGTTATGTCTCCGCTCGCTTGTTTTTTTTTTTTTCTTTCCTCTTTTCTCTCTCTCTGTTCAAACGAAGCCTACAATTTGACTTATTGCATGCGTCTTTAGGAAGCAGTTTGTGATGCAGTTCACACATTTCCTCTTGTGGCACCTTGTTTTGTTTTTTTTTTTATGTTGTTTGTACAGTCTGTTGTTTCTTCAGTTTTTGAATTATAATTCGCTGTTGGCTTTGTATTCATATGCGAGGTTGAATTATCTTGTCTGGAACAGGACTGAAGCCGACGCTGGTTTTCATTGTCGATTAACCCCAAACGGTTTCTGGGTGTTTATTTGCTCTTGTCACGTTTTTACTCGCTGTGGGCTCAATTTTCACTGCAGTATAAAGTCCTGCTCCTCTATGGGAACAGGACAACCATGACTAGAAGCAGTGCAGTGTGCAGTAGCAGTACAGATACTATACTACTCATTTTTTACATTTACATACCTGCATACACGGCCTGCAGTTCAGCCAAAAACTCCCAGAATTTTTGTCACCAATCTTTACATCATGACTAAGTCTCTTGTGGCTTCTTGGTTGTGCAGAGAATCACAGCATTTTTGTACTTTACAGAATAGGTCAATGCACAGTGTTTATTTTTGGTAATTTTTTAAATGTGACATTTAGAATTGTGAGTAAAGATCACGATTTTAAGCTTAGATTTGAATTATTTTTGCAACATCACAGATGAGCAGTTCACAGATCATTGAAAAGTTGATGGTTCTTCCTCTTTTTACAGTTTCTTTTTAAACTAAACAGTATAATTTTGCAGATTTTTTTGTTTTGTTTTTCTTTTTTTTTTCTTTTCAAATCCACTGGTGGGTTTTGGAGTTCAGAGGCTTAGGCCCTGTTTACACGTAGCAAAAACGGTGATATTTCAATGCATTTGGGCCTTTGGTTCAGATGTAAATTAAGCTATGAGTCACCGAAATCAATCATTTCTGAAAACTCTGGCCAAAGTGGAGATTTGGAAAAACTCTGCCTTTACGTTTGCATGTAGAAAGGAGGAGACAAAGTGTGACGTCACAGTAAGTGGGGGAAAAAAAACATCATCAGCGTGCGCGACCTTGTTTACAGTTTGGCTGCTGTGATAGAAAGTCTATATTTTCAAGAATCGTACTTGTTTTGTCCTCTAACACCACATTCAGGAGTAGCTCCACTTCTCTGTCAGTCCAAACAAATGACCCTCACGCCATTATCGTTGAAGTAACAGGAAGTAATTCGTGCCATTCGTTGTTGTGTTTTTTCCAGGATTCTGATTGGCTAGCATGGCTTTATGCTTCTTGTTACGCTGCCCCCTATAGGTCTGGCATGCTCATAGCAGCTCTTAACGTATTTATGCGGGTTTGTGTAAACAACGTTTTTTTTGATCAATGTGAACAATGTTATTTTTGAAAACGTAGATCCGTTTTTGTAAATACCTGGCTATGTGTAAACGTGGCCTTCGTCTGTCAATTATCTTCTTGATGAACTGATTAGTTCTTTGGTGAAACATGTCAGTCAGACATGTCAAAGCCTAAGATGACAAATGTCCTGTTTTGTCCACAACCCAACGATATTCAGTTTGTTCTCGTAGAGGCGGAAATAAATCAATAAGTATTTGCATTTAAGAAGCTGGAATTAGAGGATTTATACTTTACACACACACACAAAAAAAAAAAATACTCAAACCGTGTAATTGATTAAAAAAAAAAAATACTCAAACCGTGTAATTGATTATGAAAATATGACACCTAATGAATTCATTGTCGCAGTTCTGGTCTGGAGAGTCTTTGTCTGATCCCTCGCTGATATCAGTTTGGTGGCATTAAATATTTTTGTTCTTTTTTTAGGTGCAAGAACAAGTTGTACCCCGATAATCTCCCTCGCACCAGCGTGGTGATTGTATTTCATAACGAGGCCTGGAGCACGCTGCTGCGAACTGTCCACTCCGTCATCGACCGCTCTCCGCACACACTGCTGGAGGAGATTGTCCTGGTGGACGACGCCAGCGAGAGAGGTACAGCTCACACACACACACACACACACACACACACTGTAGATAATTCCTTCAGTGCTTCTTGTTTGAGGCTTAGCCTATTTATTTATCTTTTTTTAGAGATGCTGTATGATTTTGCAGGATTGTGTGTGTCTGGTGCCCAACAGCCAGCCAGCCAGCGTATACATGTATATGGGCTGTGTGTGCCACTCCACCCAGCGCAATGCTGTTAATCCCTGTTTGGGGGAGATTAGGCCCTTAATTCGCCAGCCGCAGGGATTACACTCTGTTATTACCCTCAATCCCCCCCTCCCAGCCGCACCACACACCAACTCTTCACCCCGTGGGACCGCAGGTTGGATGCTGCAGGGAGGGGAGCGCTGGAGTCGGCAGACGTGCTCAGGCACAAAAACACAGGCGCCGCTTACCTTTGATGTCTGCTGCTGGGAGGAGCTTGTAATCCAGCTTTTGTCGTGCACGCGGGATTGTGCGTCTGATTCTTATTTGTGTATTTGTGTGTTAGATTTCCTAAAGCGGCCGCTGGAGCAGTACGTCCGGCGGTTGGAGGTCCCGGTCAGAGTGGTGAGGATGGAGCAGCGGTCCGGACTCATTCGCGCTCGCCTCAAGGGAGCGTCCATCTCCACCGGCCAGGTGCGTGTTCATGCGTGACTCCTGCTGCCCGCTGACCGTTTCTCCATATGCTGTCAGTGCTGCTGCATTTGTCTCATGTTTTCCCTGCGTGGTTCCCAGGTCATAACCTTCCTGGATGCTCATTGCGAATGCACAACAGGTTGGCTGGAGCCGCTGCTCGCCCGCATCAAGCAAGACAAGTAAGACACACATACACGAAACACGCACACACCACTGACAAGCATTAAAAAAAAAAAATCAATAAACTATTGTTGAGCCTGCGGGGGGCTCGCCCTTGTGTTTATCCGCTGCTTAATTACTCATTCTCTGTTTACTGCTCCCCGTAAGCAGGTAGCCGCACACACCAACACAGGTAGAAAGCAGAGCGTAATGAGCGACTGAGTGATGGCTGATGGGAAGTCACGCCATGCTCCGTTGTTTAAATGCGTTATGTTGCGAAGGTGCCACACCTTGCAGATGAGCACTTACTTGTGATTCATGACCACCTGAGGCTACGAGCAGCAGGCTGATGTTGGGCTCGCATGTGTTTGTGCTTGTTGCAGGAAAACAGTGGTGTGCCCCATTATCGACGTTATCAGCGACGACACGTTTGAGTACATGGCGGGCTCTGACATGACGTACGGCGGCTTCAACTGGAAACTGAACTTCCGCTGGTACCCCGTTCCTCAGAGAGAGATGGACCGCCGCAAGGGAGACCGCACGCTGCCGGTCAGGTAAGCAGGACGAACCTTAAAACTAGCTCATATTGTGTGACTTTATATGAAATACTAGAAGTCTTACTTTTCTGGCTCAGAATATAAAAAAGACATTTCATTTTGCTCTGACTCTTGGTTTTAGTCCAGTTTTAAACAGGCTGTTTCACTGTCTGTAGCTTTAAATGCATCTGAGCTGCTGCAGGAAAAAGAGTCTGTCTGCATCTATGATTAAACTGTGGTGTAAAACAGCCAGACCTACCTCCACAGCGCTGACACAGCGAGCAGCACTACGTTGTCATTCTGCTAAGCTCTGGCTTGTTTGTATTTCTTCACACCAATCACGGTCATGTTTGGAGATGCTGAGCCCAGGATGCAGTGACGGTGCCACTGTAAACACCGTCAGGGGGAATTGTTTTGGTGGAGCACTGTCATTAAAAAGAGAGAGTTCACCAAAAGAACCTAGCACACCGGGCTTGTGTGATTGAAATCCTTGGCCACACTTGACATTTTCTGGGTGCAGACTGCTGCTAAGATGTGATTGCTGTTGTTGCTTCATATCGCAAAGGGGATTTTGAATGTGGTATCACAACGGCAGTGAAAGGAGAGAAAGATAGTTACACAGAACTCACAGAGGAAATGGCAGACTGACACCTGATGTCTACTACATAGCAACCAATGTAGACATGAGTCTGAAACCAAGACTTTCTAATGCTTCTAACTTTCGCTGTGTGTGATCATTTTACAAGAAAATCAGATGACGTTCTCAGTAGTTGATGAATATTGGTCAACATGTAGCCTTAGTGAGCTGCGTTTCAGTCACTGTTTCTTACTTGTCCTGTTGCCAGACCTCAAAAGCAGAAAAGTATGTAAACGAGAACAGCTTTATTGGGAATTTGGCTGTATTAAAATGCAGCATATATGAGAAGCTAACAGATGTAAAGAGCGGCTGAGTTTACGTTGCACCCAGTCTTTGTTTATTGCTTTCAAATTAGGCCATCATCATCTTTGAATGTCCCTCAGTGCTACCTTTTCCACAGAGCTCTGACCTGTTAGCCACATTAGCCACACAACACGCTATCACTAAGGATTTTACTATTGCTGTGGTGACATTGTCATCAAAAATAAAAGTAATCCACTGGGTGTTTAGTTTTTCAAGTGCTGGAAGTGCACGAAGGCTCTTGTGTTCAGTCTTGCAGCCAACAGCAGAACATTTGGTGTGTTTTTCTTGTGGCTCAGACATTTTAGAGTTTAGCAGAAGCAGCCCTAGAAAGTAAATGAACCTGGTGAAGCAGCTGCTCATTGTAATAAATAGTTCACCTGGTTACCCAATTTCCACAGAGAAACTGGATAACATCCTTTCTGGGCTAGAGGAATGGCAGCAGTAAGCATTTTTGTACTGTCACAGCTTTTATTAAAAATTTCCAAGCTTTTAAAACAAACAAAACACAATAAAAACAGATTTTCACCACGTGGGACCTTAAAGTCACATCTCTCTGCAAGTTTTTCCGTCTGGAACAGTTCCAGTGACCTCTCTGTCAGGTCAAATGAAAAGGGAATTTTCCTAACAAGACAGAAATGAGTAATATTAGTTCCATAATCAGACCCACATGATCTTTCATACACACACACACCAACTCTGTCAGACAGCTGTTTAAAATAACATATCCTGTGAGCTTCAGCATTCGCAGTTTTGATGTGCGCAGAGTAATTATGCTTCACCATTCAATTTGTCACAGTCACACAGTGTTCTGAGGGCGAGAATCGTGAAAGAATACAGTGAACTTTCCTCCGTGTACGAAGTCGAGATGTTTATGCAAGAGCCTGTTATTTTGCTTGTTGTATAGTTTCTCATGGCTCAGACCTTGGAGCTGAAATCCAGAGCTTATTTCTGCCTGTCTATCATCTCTTCTTCCTGCTCTTGTTTCTAAGCGCGCTCGACGCCAATATTCAAGGTCACACACATAATATATCTTACGTAACACCCCGCGCCCCTGTTTTCGGCTGTTTTTCACAGTTCAGCTCGACAAAATTTTCCTAAGGGTGTCTCTTTAAGTGGCCTAAAAAACAAAAATGGGTTGTAGTGTCAGGGCAGGAAATTACTTTACACTAATGACATGATTTACATAAACCCCGTTCTGTCATGAAGCTGTTACACATTGTTGGGAAAGTGGAAATGCTGTTGCACTTACAGTTAGGCCTGAATTTATTCATACCCAGGGGAAACTGTGATTTATAGTGATGTTTTTTTGCCAATAGGTTTCTTCTGGCTGGAAATAACATAAAGGTGACAGATGACAATAAAACATTGTGTTAGAGATGTTAATGACACAGTGTTTCTGCAGACTAGTTGATGTTTTCCTCCACAATCCACTCCATAGCCCCAAAGCATCACATTCCACCACCATGTTGGACTGTTGGGATGCTGCTCTTGGCCTTGAGTGCTTCTCCTTTCTCTGTGTCCAAACATGTCCATGTTCATGAAGTGATAAGCAGCAGCTTTCTTCTTTGTCTTGGAGAAGTGGATCCTCCTTGTCTCCATGGAGACCAGCCTTGTTGTTGGTCTGCTGGAGTGTCTGATTGACATGTTGCTACCAGAACTGCTCACATCCATCAGGATGCTCTTGGTGCTGGTCTTTGGGTTCTTCTTGGCCTCCACCATTCTTCCAGTGCAGGGCTCACGTCTGTCCTCCTGCAGCCCTTTGACATGTTTCACAGTGAGAAACTCCTTGGACTTTTTCATGAAGCTTCAAACTGTAGACCTTGAAAAGACTTGATGACTTTATAGGCTTTAAACATCTTGTGAGCAGCAGCGATGTGCAACTGGAGGTCCTAACTAAGCCCTTAGGCTTTAGCCATGACTTGTAACTGACTAGAGAGCTACCGCATCAGCTGTTCTCAGTTCATAGTGTGGTGTATGTAGTGTTTGTAGTGTTTACAGTGAATGCTGTAGTTCAGGGGTCAGCAACCCACAGCTCCGGAGCCCCATGTGGCTCTTTCCTACCTCTAAGATTATGGTGATCTTATAACATTAAAATAAAATGTGTTCAATTTTTTCTCGCTCAAAATATGCGTCACAACCACCGATGTGCAACAAAATCCAAATCCTCTGGGTGACTTTTTTTTCTTCTCAAAAGCAGCTAGCAACAAATCTAGCGACTCTTTCTGGTGTTACTGGAGACTTTTCTGGTGTTTTGGAGACTCTGACATGAACACCCGTAACGCTCTGCAGTTCCTGTCCTCAGCGACCAGCAGTGCTGTCGTGAGCTCCTCCCGTCCCAAAGCGCTCACAGGCGGTCAGCAGTCTGGTCAGCAGTCAGCAGGACAACCAGATGTCAGTTTTACTTTGCTGCAGGTGGATCATTTAAATTTAAATACGAGGAGGATTCAAATAGACATTGAGTATTTTATTTCAAAGTAGCCTTCAACCCAGCGTCTTTTTTTTTTTTTCTTTCAGAGTTCAAAATGTTTTTGTTGCAGGCAGAAACAAAATTTAGTTTTCTCTGTAGTAGTTCATTGATTTCATAAATGCAACACGCTGTAGTTTTTTTATACATAGATAGTGTTTTCTTTTCTATGGGAATGGGTCCAAATGGTTCTTTGAGTGTTTAAGGTTGTTGACACCTGCTCTAGAACATGGTAGAAATTAGGCAAGGCAAGGCAGGCTTATTTGAAAAGCACAATTCGTACCCGAGGCAATTCAAAGTGCTTCACACAAAACTGCAAGAAAACAGATAAAGTCAATCCACAAAACATAAACACAATCATTAATTAATTGCATTAAAAGCAAAGAGGCAGATAAAATCAATCCATAAAAACATAAATATAATCATTAATTAGAAGAGTACAGATACAATACTTTCATCTGTCATGTGCACAACTAAGTAGAAATGTTTACAGCCTTTATCAGGAGCATTTGGAATGGTGCAGACGCTGCGACAGATTCAAGGGATGTGAATAATAAACAGAAAAACAGACATAGTTCAGACTTATCATCCACATCTCCTCATGTTGCCTGTATTGTCATTTCCAGATTGATCAAATAAAAATTCACTATAAATCGGAGCTTAACAGTGCAGAATCTAAGAAATTGCACCGATGTGATTACAACTGTTTACATGCATATTCCGTTAGTCAGATCTCTGCTGATACCTGGTAAATTGTGCTTTAAGCTGCAGGTGTTTTTCTTTTGCCCTGTGAGGAAACCTCGGCGGCGCTGGAGGAAACCTCAGCTGCTAAACTGCTTATTACAGGCTCATCTACCTTATAATTTACACTAATGTGCAAAAGTCTGGACTCACTTGAGAAGTTTTTTTTTTTTTTTTTAATCTCTGTTGAAAAGAAAAACAAACATCTAACAAAGACTTTAAAAATCCTCTGAGCGTATTAAATTGCTCTGCGTCAATTAGATGCTGTGAGTCCTTTGTTGCCGTTTAATGCGACAGTGTTTGTGCCCGTTTCTGTGTTATGATATGCTTAGGCAATAAACACTGCTATTATGTATGTGAGAGACAGTCTCTGTTTGGATAATGGCTTTAATTAGAATCAAGTGTTTGCCATAAAATTAGTGGGTTTCGGTTTGTTTTACTGTGATGTGTTTGAGTCTCGTAAAAATAAGAGATTTAATTGAAAGCCGAGGAGTTTAGAGAGCTCGGATGTGTTTACAGCGAGAAGAAAAGCACACTTATACTCTCCGTATTCCCGTCTTTGTTTTACACGTATTATCTCTCGATTGTTCAACAGCGTTTGTGCGTTGTTTAACAAGCAAGTATTTGTTTTTTTTTTCCTCCGTTTCTTGTTGCTTATTACTTCGCACCCGCAGCCAAATGCTATAAACAAACTCGTCACCCTGCGCGCTCTCAGGACGTGTTTGTCTGTTTGTATGCAAGGTATTGTGTTTTGCTAAATGAACTTGGATGTTAACCGAAAACAAAAACAGAGCAGAAGGGGAAAACAAGCCTCGTCTACAAAGGAGGAAACCGTTCTGCCCTGTGAAGGGGGGAGAAACAGGGGAAGAGCGCCGAGGCAGTGACATGACCATCACAACAACAGAGCAGAAAAAACAGGATTAAAAAAAGAAAAAAACAGGAAAACGCCAAAGAACAGAGGGTGAGAGCGGTGAAATATAAAACCCTGATGGGATGTGTAGATACAGAGCGACCTTTAGAAAGCCGGCCATCGGTGAATTAAGTAGCAGTGGCCAGCCTCGCTCTTAACCCTTTGAAGTTTTTGGGTTCCTATCATGTTTTTTACTCACCATGCGTTCATTTTTCACTCCTTCAACCCTGTAGAAACAGCACAACCATGTGTAGAAATAAAGAGGACTCAGAAAGGGCTTTTGTACAGCATGACTTAGTTAAAAAGTCGTAATTCCTAAAAAAAAAAAGCATCAACATGTACACAGGTGTTACTAATACTGGGGTGGGGGAGTGGTTCTGCATACTGTACATATTTTACTACTTATAATTTGACAACCTCTTTAAACTGTAAGGTTTCCACTCCGCCCTGCACATCAGCTCTACCAAGATATTTCACCATGCTGAATGTATCTCTCACAAACTTGCTTCTCAGTTCACTGTTTTTAGCCATGCTGCATTTATTTTATTGTATTGATCCAGTTTATTTTCCTTTTCTCTTGTCTTCTCTCTGTGCAAACATGGCCTGCAATTCAAATGAAAAGATTTATTTGTCACAATTTTAGAAAATAGGATGTGCTAGGTATCTAAGTATCGCGAATCTGATCAAATATCACAATTTTAGGCAGATTTTTTTTCCGGCATTTATGCAACAGAACTGTTTGTCTCACATTACACGTTCTTCATCTCTATGGAGACGGTATAGTCATGCCTAGAAGTCGGGACAATTAAAAAATCATAAAAATAAAATGAGTTTTTATAACCTCTACTATGCGTTTTTCAAACCACTCAGCACATCAACTCTGGAAAGATGTTTCGTCGTGCTGAATCTATCCTCCAACAACTTGCTAAACGCCTTTGTATATTGAGTTTGAGCCGTGACACTTCTATTTTATTGATCCAGTGTAATTTATGTACTTGCTGTCTGCTCTGTGTAAACCCAGCCTGCGTTTTAGCTGAAAAGTCCTTCAATTTTTGTTACCTGACGCACGAAAGAGTCATTCATGACTCTAAGTTGTGCTGAGGAACGCAGAATTTTTTTTGTTTTTCCCACAGAATCTTAATTTATTTTTGTCAAACTTTTAAATGAAATATGTAGAAAAAAGTTACTTTGATGAAATATCACAATTTTAGGCTTTGATTATGTTCATTTTCCCAACAGAGCTGCACATCATACCTGTTGGATAGCTGAAAATCTGACATTCTTTCTGTTTTTGCTGTTTCTTGCTTTGAGAAGTGGTGTAAGTTTGAGTGATTTTTCAACTAACCACGCCTGTCATACCTGCTGGCAGGTTGTCTGGTCCGGCGAGTTAATTCACTCCTCTGCTGTCTCTTCTGCAGGACTCCCACCATGGCAGGCGGCCTGTTCTCCATAGACAGAGATTATTTTCAGGAGATCGGCACTTATGACGCGGGCATGGACATCTGGGGTGGAGAGAACCTGGAAATCTCCTTCAGAGTGAGTGAACGCAGCCACTTGACATGACGGTATTCTTCCATGCGCTGGCAGGCGTTCAGGAGCGCCTGCTCGGGTTCACAAACACACAGATGTTGCACTTGGAGGTTGACTAAGTTGTTGACTCGACTAATACTTTGTCAGGCGTCGTCCCGACTGGCTTTCAATCAAACCTATTCATGCTGTCACAACACAGACAGGACCGGTCTGCGTCATCCATCACGCTCGGTGACCAGGCCTCGCTGTATGTTTGTTCTGAGAGCTGCACCGTATGTCTGCGCTGACTTGGGACTTGTTCTCCGCAGATCTGGCAGTGTGGTGGGACTCTAGAGATCGTCACATGCTCCCACGTGGGCCACGTGTTCAGAAAGGCGACGCCCTACACGTTCCCCGGCGGAACAGGACAGATCATCAACAAAAACAACCGCCGCCTGGCAGAAGTCTGGATGGATGAATTTAAAAACTTCTTCTATATCATCTCTCCCGGTGAGTCGGGCTGCGTGTGTGCACGTGTGAGTGTGTGCGTGTGTTCATGCAGGTTAATAGATGCTACGTAGCGTGAAATTACTCGCCGCCCCCCCGCGCTGCGCTGTTGGATCACCACCGCAGTATCGCACTGTCGCCGGGGTTAATGGCGAGATCACACCTGCCACAGAGATTAACCTCCACACATGAGCACATACATGCAAAGTCGCTTGAACACACAAAAACACACACACACACACACACAAGCTGGCAATGGAGAGACAACCTAAAGAAAAGTGAAACTCCCTAATTGAAAAGTATTTATAGACGCAAAGCAACTCCTACAACTCTTTAACTCTCTAACTTTCAATCAGCGACTGTAGATTGAGCACAAGGCTCCCATTCTGTCATTTAGCTCCAGTATTTGACTGGTTTTATGATGTAGTACGAGTTGTGATCATTAATTCACAAACTGCCTGTAGAGATCAAAAGCCATACCTGATTTTAATGTGGCTGTTGAATAGGGCTGCAACTAATGGTTATTTTCATAATCGATTATCCTGTCAAGTATTCGATTAATCGTTTTTAAACAACCATTTTTGTTTAGCCTTTATTTACCTAGGTAAGTTATTAAGAACATATTTTTATGAAGAAAAAGAAAAAAGAAGATGATTGTGCATTTTACTGCATTTTGTTTAACTAATTTCTGTGTAGCTCAAATCAGATGGAACACAACGAGCTTCATGTCTACCTCATCACTGTAAAGCTTTTTCAATTCAAAGCGTCAAACACAAAAAATAAGGTCAAATTGTTTTTTGTGTTTTTTTTTTCAAAGTTTGCAGGTCACTCGTCGTTTTTGTAGATTTCGTGTGAAGTGCTCCCACACTTTGGATGACTTTTGACTTTCGGAGGACTTTGTGAAGTTTTCCCTCCTGATTTCTCTCGTTTCTCCTTTTTCTTTGAACTTTCGCCAGCCGCCTCTCGCTGAATGCATTGACTGTGCTGTGGCGCACATGACGCGAAACAAGGCCGGCTATTGACTGTTGGCTACTTCTCCTGCTGTGCTGGTAGATTACAGCTACCGGTGGCTCATTACTGCCACACTTTGGTGGCTGCTATAACAGATTGGTTGAAAATTCGAAAAACAGGCCGCTTACGGTAAAAAAAAAAAAAAAAAGTATTAATGAAATTAGTTGACAACTATTTTAATAATCGACTAAATCGATCAGTTGTTTGAGCCCTACTGGTGAAGCGGTCTTCTCGTGCAGCGATGCTCTGCTCCCAGTGCTCCTGCAACACCTGTAACACGTCACCATCCGCGGTGAGAGTTGAATCTCGTAAACTGTGTCAAAACGGCGACCCTTCAGCCTTAATTCATCTCGGTCCCAGGGTGATAAATCTGGTGAGCAGAACAGACGGAGAGCAACCATTCTGTTTTTGTGGCCAGAACTTATCGAACTGTGACGGGCACACAGCGTATTGGAGCGCCAGCATGCCACCACACTACTGTTCAGGTTGTTTACGCCAAATGTTCTTCTTTGGGGAAAGAATTCACGGTACACAACCTCCTGGTGCTCCTTGTCTGGTTTTCCCGCTGTGAAAACTGCTGTTTGTTCTCTTGGTGGTGGCCACAGACCCACCTTTCAACACCAGGCAGCTGACCGACACAGAATTTGCTGTTTGATTCCAGCTTGAGCTCCATTGAGAAATCACACGTGCACCTACAAATACTTTCAAAAATGTCAACAAAGTCGGAACAAAGGTTCTGATATTAACTTGTTGTTCGCCCCTCCTATAACATACAGGCTGGCAGAGCTGGAATAAAATGAGCGACTTCTCTACAGCAATCTGACCAACATCAGCTAATATTTAGCGGCACTAAGTAGATCAGTTCTCCTGCACAGTGCCGGGATCAGCAGGTTTCTGTTGTAGTTGTGCTGACTGGTCTGAATGTTTGGTATTTGTGGTTAAACGTGCGATTACACCAGAATGACAAAAGCCGTGTGAAGGTAGTCTTTCATAACATCCATGAAGACGATATTTCTTCATTCAAAGCGGAACAGTAGAGACTCCTTCTCTCAGTTTTACTGTTCTTCTATGAGCTTCATTTAATAACAATCAGCAAAGTAGAGCGTCGGTGTTCTTGAACATTTCAATCATCAAAGCTAATGTGCTGCTGCGACACACAGTAAGTTGTTTGAACTAGCTGTAAGTTAATGCTGTGAGTAACATAATGCCTCGTGTAATCCAATATCTGTGGTGGATGCTGTCGTGTCAGGTCACACGACCTCCTCATAAACAGAGATGTATGTTCCCTGCTTTGAGAAGTTTTAGCAGACTGTGTAAACTAATCAGGTCTGAGACTCTTAAAGTCCAGCAGGTGCACTTTGGATTCACATTTAGGTTTCGTCTTTTCAGCTGAATTGCTTTTACAGTATTTATTACTGCTCGTCTGTGCAGCAAAGTCTTAGTGACAAAAATAAATTAGAATTGACATCAGATGTAATCGTAGTTACAACCTGCATACAGTTGTGTGTCAGTGAATACAACCATTACTCTGGTTTGACTTTGTCATTGACTCATCACTGCAGGGTCATCCTAATATCTAATTATGTTAATATCTGTGCAAGCTTTTATACAATACAATTTGTAAACCCTTCACTAATACAATCATGGCATTTATTTCCACATATTGTTCCTAATTTCTAAGTCGCACAGCATCCCACCATCATGGTTCTGTTATTCACAGATTCCAGACAATCTTCTTCATACTATATTATGAAAATAAGTTTGCATTTTATGGTGAGATACATGTAAAAATGTGACAATTTCAGAGTGCAAAGTATTTTTTCCCTCGATATAAAGGCTAATATAAACAATCTGCAACTATTATCATATTAAAAGATAGAAGATGTGAAAAGCCCAGGTTGTTCTGAAACAAGATGCAGCATGTTGACTCGTCCTTAAAATAACCAAGATAACAGCGTCAAAGCTAAGGTAGCGAAATTACCCCGAAGATAGCCTCAAGCTCCTAGTGTTCGAGACAAAACCAGAAAGAGGAGAAACGGAGCCGACATTTCTCATGATGCACCCGCACGAGCAAACCAAACACTTTGTGCTGAGTGTTTAGAACATATTGAGGGAACAGACACCGCATTACTGGCAATGAGGAAGTGGATTATCATGCAAGACTGGCCCGGCTTTACTGGAACCTTTAGTGGTGGATGCAAGCCGACAGCAGCCGCTGCCTTCTGCAGAGCAGCGAGCGGCGCTTTGTCGAAACGTGATTTGATGCTCAACAAATAGGTTTCTGTTGGAGTAGCCCCTCAGCCCCACTGAAGGATTCTTCAAGTGCTCGACCATTAGACGGGCGAGTCTTGGTGGTTTCAGGCTGAGCATCAGATCAATGTGCGGTTCTGCTCTTTAATAAACAAAGCTGACATGGAAAATGCAGTGAGCGGCTTCTCAGCAACCTGTGTGAAGCCAGTGATTGTGTCATAGCGACTAACCTGCGTGTTGTGTTTTGTCCAGGTGTGACCAAAGTGGACTACGGTGACATCACGTCTCGCACCGCCCTCAGACAAAAGCTTCAATGTAAACCCTTCAGCTGGTACTTGGAGAACGTCTACCCCGACTCACAGATCCCCAGGCACTATTACTCACTGGGAGAGGTACACTCACTCACATATCACACCGACAGTCACTGAGTCTGTCCAGCCCCTTTCAGACAGGCACTCCTTTTTGTTGCTCTGACGGATGCTGAACGTGTTGGCTTCATGTCTGCCTGCTCATTTCTGTATCACTTTTAACCCAGCACAAGCCTGGACTGCACCCAGTTACATTAATGTGTCCTAACAGTGCTTCAGGTTCTGCATTTCAGCACCAATATTTGCTCAGAACATCACAGAAAGGCTTAATACACAGTTTGTGTGCTAAAAACACGACACGCCGACTTTGTTCTATGACTTTAGGTCTATTAGGCTAAAAACGGAAAAGCCCGTAATGCTAGAACTTGTATGGAATTAAAATAGACACCAACAGATTAGATTAATGATACTCAACAGTAATTTATGCAATCCAAGTTTTTCTTCTCCCCCAACAAGACATTAACAGGAACTGAAGTCTGTTGCATCCAGCTGTTTAGAACTGTTTCCTTTGAGTTTGTTAAATCCCTGCAGCATCAGACAGCAGTGGGATCTACGAGTGTCTCCAAGGAGAGAGAACTGCAACAACATTAACTTCCATGTTTAGTTCTAAGTATAAATCAGGATCTAGCAGCAGGTCATGGTGTTTTACTGGTGTGGTGTCTGTCTGAATGACACTGTGAGGAACATTAATGAAAAAATGGCTTCTTCCTAAATGATAGAATACTGACTTCAACAGATTAATGAATGTTCCACATCCCACGTCGTTCTCTAGCAAAGGTTTTTGTTCAGGTTGTGGTGTTGCTTACTAAAATCTTTCCATGTGTTTGGCTAAGATCCGCAACGTGGAGACCAACCAGTGTCTGGACAACATGGCCCGCAAGGAAAACGAGAAGGTCGGCATTTTCAACTGCCACGGCATGGGAGGCAACCAGGTACCAGACAAAATAGAAATAAATACAGAATCAAAACTAGAATTTCAGTAAATGTTAAAGCCAGTTACATGATTCTTGGCAGCAGTCTTGAAACAGGGAAGTACAAAGAAGAAAGCTCTGATAAAGATTAGTTTTAAAATGTAAAATCTGTCTTCAGGTCTTCTCCTACACGGCCAATAAAGAGATCAGGACGGACGACTTGTGTCTAGACGTGTCCAAGCTGAACGGACCCGTCATGATGCTCAAGTGCCATCACCTCAAAGGCAACCAGCTGTGGGAGTACGACCCTGTGGTGAGTACAAGAAAGTAGAATTATGTACGTGTGAGGACTGGAGCTGCAGCAATGGATCGACTAGTTATCAACTATTAAATTATTCGTAAGCTATTTTGTTCATCATGTGTTTATAAAAAGAAAAACGCCAAAATGCTCAGATTCTAGCTTCTTAAATGTGAGTGTTTTGTGGCTCAACTTCAGTAACCATCTCACACCCAGGCAGCTTCTTATTTATGCTCTTTTCACATTTTTTGTCACTGTGGGCTCATTTTTAACTGCAAAAGAAAGTTGAATTTCTTTGAGTATTCACTTTATAAATATGGAAAATAAATAAAACCAACATGTAAAACAGTTTTCCCCACAGATGCTGCTAATATTGGAAACAAATGGGACCCCACATGCTTTAGATATTTAACTACTTGCATTTTTACAGTGTCAACAAACTGTATTTTTAATCACATCAGCTCTTGAATCTATTGTGTGCTGTTTTATGCCAATGCTGCATTTATTCCATTGATCAAATTTGTTTTATTTTCCTTTTTTTGCGGATTTTTTTCCTTTAAAACCAGATTCTGGGGTTTTAGGGTTAAAAAAAATCAATTAAAACTTATTTTTACTGCATTTTTTGTGTCCCCACATATTAAAAACATGTGTTTCTTGTTACATAAAGACACTGATAACATCACTAAACAAGGCTTTATCTGCAGTGAACATGGCTCAGCAAATACATCCCATAATAGAAGGTGAATAGAACAAGAAGCGAGCCCGGTGAATTCCCTGTACAAACCAAGTTTGACAACACATGCTTCAAACTGGCTGTCATTTCCGTTAGCTGATTATTTATAGTCTGTAGTTTCTGGGTGATATATCCGAGGTGACACATTACCCAACTCAACCGCTGCATACCTAACGCTGCGAGCCAAAACTAAACTGAGCCTCACAATTAAAACCTGAAAAAAAGGGAAGAAGAAGAAGAAGGCAGGCAATGTTGAAGTTGTAAATATGAGGAAACGTTTACAATTTTTAACCCTTGAAAGCCCAAAAGCAGCTCTGAGAGGCGTGTTGTCCTAAATGACACCAGATTATCAGAAAACAGACATCGTTAATGCAGAAATAACTCTTTTTCAACTGTCTATAAACACATTGTGTGCGGTGTAGAGTTTTGTCAGGAAAAAAATAACTAAAATATTTCACCAATATCAAGTTATTCTCCATATCTCATTTAAAACTGTTTGCACCACATTCAGTAAAAACGTCCCTAATAAAAGTAGAATAAAACAGACTTGATCAATAAAATGAATGAAATGAAATGAAAATGAAAAAAAATACTTTATTTATCCCAGAAGGGAAATTCAATTACAAAAGGGTTATCAGCCCCGAGCCGGATTCGAACTCGGGGCCTCTGACTCCAGGGCCATTGCCCGGTGCGGGAAGGGGCCAGCTTAGCATGGTGAGCTATATGCACCCTTATGAATGCAGCATGGTTCAAACACAGTGTGCAGAGAAGCACGTTGTTGGGGAAATGTTGCACATGTTTATTCTGGGTTTATTCAGTTTTTGTAAAATGAATAGTCAAAGAAATTCAACTTTCATTTTGTAATGATTCATAACTTTGGAAGATACGTCCAGCATGCTGAAATATCTTCCTTAATGTCAACAGTTGTGGAACATATGTCAGGTTTGTAGAGGTAATAGAAATGTAAATATTCATACCATGTGAAGCCCCATTATTTATTTTCCCAATATTGGTAACATGTGGACATGTTTGAAAATGTTTTGCATGTTGTTTGCAGGTTTATTTACTCAATTTTTGAGAAATAATTCATTTTAGAAATTCAACTTAAATTTTTTCTGATTTGTGGCATTATAACTTTGGAAGACACATTCAGCGTGCTGAAATCCCTTCCTTAATGTCAACAGTCATGTTAAAAAACGTCAAGTTTGTAGAGGTTATAGAAATGTAAAAAGTTAAATATCTACAGTTTGTAGATTCACTGGTTTTCTTCATCATTCATGTGCACATTTGGAAAAATGTTGTACATGTCAAATCCAGTTTTCTTCATTTTGTAAAATGAACCATCAAAGATCAAGAAATAGTTCGTCTTCTAGTCGTAGTTGTACTTCATGGTTGGTCTGTTTCCATAGAGGTGCAGGACTTTTATGTTGCAGTGAAAAATGAGCCCACAGTGAAGAAAAATGAGACAAATATACGACATGTTTTCCCTTTAGGTTGCCAACGTTTACAGCAGTTACACACAACTGTTCATGTCGGTGTTGGTACCAGTATCAGAATGGTCGTCCGTGGTTATGTGGACTTTCACTCCACATTTAGTCCTTCTTAAGCAATATCCAGACACGAATGTACACTTCCAATACTGTCAAAAGTCAGTAATGCAGTAACTGCCACAAACTGCTTGAGGTTGAGAGGGCTGGATAAATCTTTATTTACACACTTCTGTAAAACCATGTGAACCAGTTTCCATCCCGCCTCTCACAAACACACACTTGGTTTGTGTCTCCTGTTTGTGTGCAGAAGCTGACCCTGGTCCACGTCAACAGCAACCAGTGTCTGGACAAGGCCAGCGAGGAGGACAGCCAGGTGCCCAGCGTCAGAGACTGCTCGCACTCGCGATCCCAACAGTGGCTGCTGCGCAACGTCACACTACCGGAGGTCTTCTGACCACACTCTGCACACCCACAAACGCACACACTCACACACACAGCGGCCCACAGCGAGCAGTCGGGGGAACGGACGCGTTTTGTCGAAACGGGGCAGCGGGGGGGGAAAAAAAAAAAGAGACTTCCCACGAGGGGATTCGGGAACAGAGGAGGACGGACTGGACGGTACTACCTCTGTCAGAAACCAGAGGGAGGAGCGAGTTCGAGCCTCCTGGGACGAGAGGAAAGACTCCTTCTGCGAGACCACGGCTCTTGTTTCACTTTTTTTGTTTTTTTGTTTTTTTTCAAAAAGAGAGTGACTCGAACACGAGACCGGCTTCCCCTCAACTCATCACTTAACGTTTACTGACTTGCCTCTTATGAGAGAGTGTGTGCACTTATTTGTGTGTGTGTGTGTGTGTGTGTGTACTCTTGAGATGAATGTATGCTTTGAGAGAGGGGCCTCGATTCCTTGTTGATTTCTTCTTCTTTTTTTTCTTTTTTTTTTTATTTAATTTTGTAAAAGGGTTTTGAAAATGAAGAAGGATGCATGTGTGAGCGTGTGAGTGTCAGAGCCCCTCCTACAGTCTTGCAGCAGTGTTTGTCTCCCTCTGGTGTTACTCCTTTAGCATTTCATCTTACAGACTGAAGCCTCGGCGCTGAGGAAATATCCGAGAGACAGCACATTTCAAAAGGAAAAAAGACAAAAAAGAAAAAAAAAACAAAAACACGGACCCGACGTCTGCCATCAGCAGAGATCTAGAGATAGAGAAATACGATGTTTGTGATATCTTGAGATTTCTATGTCCAGTTTTTACATGGCTTGTCTGTTTCTACTGTTTCAGTAACCCTAGTTTGTCTGTCTGTTGTCTTTAAAGATGTTTAACATGAAGCTAACTCACACACACATACATGCATATATAAACTGATGTTCACTGCCTGATGTAGTGTTCAACCGTAGGGAGCTCTCCCATGAGGCACTACACATGCTGTATACATATAGGAGAAAAAAGGGCCGCCCTCTGGCCTCATACTTAAATCCATTTGTCATATCTTCTTCTCAATGACCTCTCTGAAGAAAAAAAAAAAAAAAAACACTCCAAGGGCTTCTTTCCTCCAGTGGAGTGTGTGGATGTGTGTGTGGGTGTGAACGCGTCAATCTATAGTCCATCAGCTCCCTACGACGGACAGATTCCTGGGTCATCGCATAGAACATCAGCCAAATGTGTAAAAATCATCAGAACCAGCTGATCTTTTTTTGTACTTTTAGTATATTTAATGAAGCCATGCTAAATTTTACCCTCATACTGTGAATGGTTTTCGACTTACAGCCCCTCAAAGTACATAGGGGCTGGCTGGGATTCTATTTCTTAACTTTATATACATGTGATGATATTTAAAAAATGTTTTGACACAGAAAGAATCATGACTAAAAGATGAGGCTGGTATCAAATGTAGGTCAACATGTGACCTGTCATTTGCTGTAACTTGTTCACCCACATGGTAATATGACGTTGACAGGTTACCCAAAGATGCACTTTTTTTTTTTTTTTTTTTTTTTTTTCGGTGAATTCTAACTAAAAATATGTTAACCGATGAGGTCAGAGGATGAGGGTTTGCTGTGTTTGACACTGTAGTGACCTGAGGAGGCGCTTACTTGGACTACTGGCTATTTCATGTTGGCAAGCAGAGGCTGTTGTTGGGGTTTAGCGAGCGAAGGGGCACCATGACAAAGACTTCTGTGGTATTTAATGACCTCCCCTTTTTAAAGGGTTGGCTGGGGTAGAGAAGTGAATCTGACAGTGGCTCATGTCGCTGACACGCGTTTACAGCCAGCGTCATGTTATTACATTTTTATCAGTATTAATCGAAGAAAGTTGGTGCTGAAAGAATCGTGCTGAACAAAAACAAGATTCTGGCTTCAGATCGTGGATGTAAACTCGATGTACTTGCAGTTTTGAACAGAACTCTGTGTGCACTTGTGAAGTTATGGGCCTCAGAAATGATGATAAAGAACATTTTAGCGTGACTTTATGCATTACAAGGGCCTGTAACTCTGAAAATATTCACAGTACGACGGTAGAATTGTGCATGGCTTCTTTAAACATACTAAAGTTACTGCACATAAAAAAAATCTTCTGATTCTGAGGACGTCTTGTGGGACCTTGATCAGATTTTCTATGGGATGACCCTCTTCGCCCGACAGCCTGTAGCGTAGAGCGGCTGCAGATCCCCGCTTCCTCCTCTAGCAGCTGTTATTTTCTACACAGAGCCGAGCGTCCGCCCTCTCCTGTGGACGTATGTGCAGGAGGGAAGGATATCAAAGTAGCATCGCTGAGGGGTTTTTATTTAGGACAACTAATCAGGGACAGACTATTAACCGTAGACAGCCAAAGGGGAGCGAAAGGGTCCAACTGTGGATTTAGCGAGAGCACAGCAGCAGCAGCAGATGACATATCCTAATCCATAACTACATATCTCACTTTTGCGAGCTCACTGGCAGTATTTCACTATTCATATCTCGGCGAGAGATCGACAGACAGCCGCGTCATCCTCATTTCAACCGCTTTCTTTCTTGTTTTGTATCACTCCTGCCGCTGCGAGTCAGGGCACGAGGCGTGACTTCAGAAACATTTTGTCTTCCTCCAGTGGAGGGAGGGTTTACACGTAGGACACGTCATTGGTTCATCTTTGTGGTGGACGTGGTAGTGAGAGGATTTTTCATGTCTGAGCGAGTGACTGTGGTGAAGGTGTGAGCGTTTTTTTTTTTTGATTGCGAGACAAAGGGAGTGTATCGCTTGTTGTGGGTTTATTTTGTTGTTTTGTTTTTGTTTTTTTGTGGGGGAGGGGGGTGGCAAGGGGGCTTGAAAGTAACTGACATGTCCAGGCTTCCACACTGAGCTGATCCAAATGTAGAAAATAAAGGTGAAAAAGTTTACAGAACTATTCCAGGAGAGTGGTGATTTGTGCACGAACCAGACAGTGTTTTCTAAGCAGGAAGGTGGGTTGATTACATCACTGGAAAATAAGTTCAGTTTGATTTTAACTCGGTGTGTGACTACAAACCCTTACAGATTTATTTTATGTTAATTTTTGAGAATTTAAAAATACCACTGAGCAAAGATATAAAAGCAGCATGCAAATGTTCTTCTTTTCTGACTTGGAGGAAATGTTAAAAGATCAAATATTTTTTGTTTTGGTTAGAAAAGTAGTTTTTTTTTTTTTACTTTAACCAGAAGTTTCTGTTTAAGTGGTGGTAAATTCTCAGCCACTGATTCTGGTCAGATGTGGCTTTAAGGACAATTATTAGACAGTGTAGCCAGTATAAAGGCACTTCTTTGACTATAAAAGTCCACCTTAAAAGAGAACAGGCTGCTGTATGTCAGAGCTGTAGCCTGAACATCCACAACTCAACCATTTGTTGACAATCTCGTCCATCTTACAATCTGCTCAAACTGTGAGGAATCTCCTGAAGGGAGCTCGTTTGCCACCTTCTCACTTAGGCTTCGATCTAACAGCAGAGCGGCGTCATAATCATTTCCAGTGGTCGACGACTCATGTTTGGTGGACACCAGCGATATGGAGGACGGTCCTTTTCATTGATGGATGTCAGTTTGAGCTGTACAGAGCAGATGGCAGAGCATGCAGATGTCAGCATCACACTGAGGAATTATGCTATGGGAAGGGTTAGACCACAAAGAAGCCGTCTTCACTTCATCAGTGGTGATTTTAACCCTATTCAGGACTTTGGAGGTCTTTAGGTGACAGGTATTGTTCTTTAATTTTTTAAGATTGTTGTTCAAATATAAAAAGAGGGCCATTTGTCATGCATTTGGAACGAAAAATACGTCAACTTATCAGAAGATGTATTTAACATCGTATAAAAGTCTATAATGAATACCAACAAATATTTTGCACATATTCTTTCTTGGGGTCCAGTGGACCCCGAAAGACCTTCTACGTGTGGCAACATGAAAGTCCTGAACAGGGTTAAAGCCCAACGTCATCCAGATAAAATCCTCTGTCATGTTTATCCCGCTCATTCGTCGCCATCACTTGACGTTTCAACCCAACAACGTTCATCCTCATGTCTCCACAATCTGCACTGTACTCCTATAGCAGCTGGAAATGTCCCAGATCTACAACCTGCAGATCTATGAGACCTTTCCACCCATACAACATCTGCAGACGTGATCATGTCGCCTAAAATGCTTGTTAACTTCACCGAGCTCTTCAAGAAGAGTCGTACAACCGTCCAAAAGCAGCATCAACAACCTCATTGACTGCTGGATGCGTGACTTGAGATTTCTGCTCTATAAATCCATTTGCACATCATCATCATTCCCATCGGTTGCTTCACGACACCTATTTTGCTGTAGAGACGTCGTGTGTTGGCATAACAAACCCTTATTCCCCAATGTTTAAAAAGAATGAACAGAATTTAATAAAACATCACATGCTGCCTTTATATTTCAGTTCAGTGCATTAAAACAGAACGTCCGCCAGCATTCTTCAACAGCATTCAAGAACAGTAAAATCTGAGCTTGGGATTCAGTCTTGGCCTTTAAAACGGCAGCGAAACAAATAAAGTTTTCTTGTAAACAAACTAAAGTTACATCTAAATTCAGTGTTTTTTTTGTTTTTACCAAAACACATAGTGGTTCATAAGGAAGGGATACACTTTCTTCCTCATAAAACCTTTAGGAACGACATTTTTCTTGAATTATGCAACATTTACTGTCTTGCAGTTTGTTTCTGTGCTGCTTTTGTTGATCAGTGAGTCATAAACCAGCAGCGAGACATGCATCTTTGCATCCTCGCCCAAGGACACACCTGTCCTCTCTGGCTCTGAACCAAACTCCACAGGGTTCCTTTAACATCCAGCTTCTTTCTGAGAGAAACAGTCGAACGCGCCACATGTCGGTAAGTGGACCTTGAGGTTGTGTTTGTCAGCTGCTGTTTTGAAGGTTGTGGACGAGAAGCCCTAAAAGCAAAAACTATCTGCTGATGAAGACAGTGTGATGCAGTCTAAAGCTAAAGAGTAAACAGGTAAGTGGAAATTTTCTGAATAATTAAGCGTTTTTTCTACTGTTTGTCCACTGAACAGGATGTTCTACACTTGACAGACATGAAGAAACACCAACAAGCGACAGTAACGCTCATCTTCTGACCAGAACAGTCCAACGTTGGTCACAAACAAAACTGCTTTCAAAGAACAAGAAAAGGTGAGTGAACACTATAAACCAAAGACCACAACAAACCCGGCAACAAAACCAAAACTCAGCTGGACCAAATCACTTTATCAACACCAAGAACCCACGACTACCCAAGACCCCAAAAAACCAAACCTAAGAAAATAACCTTAATGGCAAACCCTAGTTTGTTATGACCTGATTAAAATGGCCACAACAACATCAAGAGACACCAGAGATGGCAGATAACATGGAGAACATTTAA